TGGGAAGGGCATGTTTCCCCTGGGAGAAATTGAGTGCATGCTTATATTGTCATAGTTTCTACCAGGAGCATGAGAATTCTCCTGGTAAAAACATAATGCCTGTAGGTGGCCAATGTGCTGCTGAGCTTCAGCAACTATCTAGAAAATAGAGTTAAGTGGTATTTCATGAGCAGTCATGGCAACATGCATTTGGAGTTGTTCCCCATCCGGTAAGGACCTTTGCTTTACTCATTTAAACATCAAGATCTTTGTCCCGTACTTGGATAACATTGTTTTTCATGCAGAAGTCTCCTGATACATTGTAGTTTATCCATTAAAATATTTAAAAATACTTTGGGATTGCTTGCTTTGTTTTTAAAGACAGATGGGTAATTTTAAGTAGTCTCTGTGCTATTGCATGGCTTAAATTTCTGAATCTGCCTGGATTTCTCTGTTTAGCCAGACGTGGCTAAAATGGGGGGGCAGAAGACCAGAAGGCACTTTGAGATGCTGACTCTGAAACCCCTGTGAGATATTAACCAATTTATCACATTTTAAGTGTAATTATGTCTTAAGTAGTGACCTGGCCTCATGTTCATTCAATTAATGGTATAGTAAAACAAGAAATAAGCCAGGAACTTATACAAGATATGTCCAATAATTTTGTAGCTAGTTCCTTTCATGGCCTTTAACTGAATGCATGGCCAGTTTGTGCATCACATCCCATTGTGCCTTTAATCTAACATCTGTCAGTGGCCCAAGAGATAGATCAGTGGAAGCCCTTCAAAAACCAAAACAAAAAAGATTTTAAAGTAGCATCTTTGCAATACAGTAGTGGGCCATTCTCCTATCCCACTACACGTTGAACACCAGTGGCTTTGAACACTACTAAAAGGTATTCACACAGACTAATGTCTCCAAATAATCGTTTCCAAGAAAAGAGAATCCCAGAAGGACTTCTGTTGACTAACAGATGATGAAAGTTTATATGGCAGAGAAGCAATATCAAAGTTGTAGTGGTTAGAGCATTGAGTTAAGGCAGCAAAGACAGACAGCTTCAGACCCCCTCTAGGCAAGGGGGACCTAGAAACATCTCCTGCTTCCTGGGCAAGTGCTTTAATCACTCACCTACTGAAGCTAAAACATATGAGGGTCCCTCTCCTTATCTGGCATCTAACCTCTGTTAGTTATGGAGTTTTGCCAGCTACATTTTCAAGGTTTTTCTGTGCACGTGGTATGTGTGTGTATGTAGTCACATATGTCCCCAGCAAGCACGTAGCCTATGTGCATAATCACTTTACTTATATGCACATGCTCATATGTCCTTACAACAGAGGGTGTGGAATCTCAATTTGTAAATGCCAAAAATCTACTTACAGAGATGGAAAACTGCCTTTTAAGTAAAGAAGGGGTATTCTACCTGTAGTCTCTTAAATCTATACTACTTTGGGCCTTAAGCTATAAGCTCCAATTCATCCAAATTCTAAATCAAGTGACTTAACTTTTAGCCACAAATATGTGTTTTGTTAAATGTTTGGGTTTAAACAAGTGCTTTAATATTTGGTTACATCATAGCCAAAGAAATTGTATAAAACAACTAGAATGCCATGGCATTAAATATGTAGCCATTTCTGAGAAGCCAGTGCAGATGTTATGATCATTAGTAAGTTGGAGAGCAAGTGTATCTGCAACAGCACAATCACCAGTCTAGAGATGTACTTGTTAAAATTTTGTCCCCAAATAAAAAGGAGAGTTGAGGTGAACCCTGTGTCTGATGTAGGCCCTTTTTCAGTGAAGATTGAAGAAGATTCCAAAACCGCATCCAGTGTTTGCTTTCCACATATTTGGAGAGGATCTCCCGATTTGTAGCCTTGATCTTCCATGCTACAGAATAAGTCAATTCCTTTTAGTCCCACTTTTAGTGGGCATGGACAGCAGTCAATCACTGTCCTTTTATAATTCTTCCAACATGCAACAGTTTATCATTGTCTAAGAACTTTCCTCTTCCTAGACTTTCCTCTTTCTTCTCTTGACTAAACAAAACCAGTTTGTTCAGCCTTTCCTGATGGATCTTATCATTCTTGTTCTCCTATGGAATGTATGTGCTTAATCAAGATCTCTTAAAGTCTGGTGCTCAAAATTGAATTGTTAATACATTTCAGAATTGTTCCTTCTTTTGCAACAACATCATACTCTTGACTCTTACTGAGTTTGTGATCTATTATGTTGGCACTGGATTTATGACCCAGATACCTTATTCGAGCAGACCCAAACCCTCAGACTGACCACAACCTTTCCATTTGATAATAGGCACTTTTTCTTGATAAACAGTAATACCAGATGAGACTAATGCAGGCAAGGCAAACAATTCTATATCTACCAGTCCTAGTGGTGTCACAGAGGGAAGGCATGTCTGTCCAGTACCTGAGCTTCACCCTGTGGTTCTTTTCTTGAATGTCAGATGGCAGCAGCCTGGAGCTCAAGGGTCAAGGCCTATCTCCCCGTCCCCCCAGTAGGGTGAGTGAGACGGGCCAATAATGTGCCCTCTGTCCATGGTAGCCTTGGGTTCCCCCATCAGAGACCCTTTGCTGTTCTGAAATCCCCCATTTTATTCTTTTCCTCCTCTGATGACTCTTCATCTCCTGGCATCATTGATTGGTCTCCTTTGATCATCATACTGTCCACATTATGTTCTGTCAGCATATTCCTTTTTTCCAACAAGCACACATCTTAATTTGGTTATTTACCGATGTCTTAATTTGGTCTGTCCACCAAAACCGGAAATCCCAAGGGCTCTGCCGCCTTATCTCATGTTATGGAACAGTGTGGTACATGTCATCAATTTCACAGCCTGTCTCTGCTGGCTTCAAAGACAGTGGGTGTGGAAGGAAACTTTGTTACAAATAGGGTTTTAGAAACAAATTAACCCTTGCTGTTCCCCTGGACCATAGTTCTAATACAATCCAGTTCCCAAAAGCAAATGTCTAAATACCATTTTCTAGCCATTACATTATAACCTTGAGGTCCTTTCGTAATATACATGTGCCTAGCCAGTTGCTCCCCATTTTGCATTCAATTTCTTCCTACATGTAGCACTTGTCTCTTCTTTTCATATTGTTGATTTTGGACACTATCTCCAGTTTGTCAACTTCATTTTGAAGTATGATCCTGTTCTCCAACGTGCTTACAACCTCTCTTAAATTGGTGCCATCTTCAGGTTTTATCAGCATACTTCAGAATACTTTAAAAGCTTACAGCTGGTTTAAATTATCTTCAAAATTATTTTTTAAAAGAAAGTACTTCCAAGCACTTCTGCAATCTTCACATATGGATACACCATGTTAAGAAAACACACGCAGTGGTAAATGAGGAACAGGAAATAGTTGTAGTATCTCAGATAACAAGGTGTGGTAAATGTAGGTAAATAATGGCTTTTTGGCAGTACTGGTGAGTTTGTGAGCACAGCTCTCCTGCTACTCTATATATACCTCTATCTGAATGGACTTCATACATTAAGACCTAGCATACTACCTAAATGCCAAGTCTTCTTGTTGTGGCTCTTTGGTAATTGTAATTAGCGTGGCTATAATGGACTTTATTCTGGTAGTTTAAAACCACAGTTCCCAAACTAGGACCTATTGTAATTTACTTGTGGCTTCTTTTCAGCCTGTGACTTGTTAGGTATGAAAGGCCATCACTAATATATGCCAGGATGTTTAATATCATGTTGTCCATTATCATGTATTCATAATATAGGTAATCTTACGCACTGTTACATTTTAAAAGTTTCTGCTCATTGATTGATGTAGTTATTGTATTTATTCTTTATTTCTATTTCTGCTTTATTTCCTTCTGTCCTCTTCCTCCTCTCATTTTTTCCATCTAGGAAAAGGGTTGAGAAAGAAAGCGTCTGTTTTTCCACAGACAGGTTTTTTTTTCATTTTGATGTTTATCAACTGTTTCTTCCCTTTTATTTTCTTAGCCAACTCCTGTTTCCCATTTCTTTTTTTCTTCCAAGCTTACTTCAGTCAGATATGACTCTGCTGTCTGCCTGTCTGTCTGGCTCTCTTTTATCCTCTCCCCCCACCTCCATTTCTTCACCTCTCCATTATTCTCTGTATGTCTATAAGCTTCAGTGCTTCCTTCCTACATTACTCTCTTTTTCTAAATCTTAATATACTCCAGCAGAGGTAGGAGACTACAGGTAGTTTAAGGATATTAGAGCTGTGAGAGCTAAGGAAATCTCTTCTCAGTTTTCTCCCTTCTCTGAGAAATATGGTGGATCCACCAACACTATATTATTTTTCTCAGCTCCAGTGGGACTGCTATAAATTCTTATCATCACATATATGAAGATAACAGAAGCCAAAGATCTCCCCTCTTCATTCCTGGAAACATAGGAATAATGTAGGGTGGCCATGCTGGGTAATCAATTCCCTCCTAATGGGAGGGCAGGAGATAAGAGGTTAGGAAATCAACCTATTAACTCAGAATTGTAGTATTGATCAAATTCATCCCTGATGTATTTCTCACATAGTTAAATCAGGGATTAATTTAGCCGAGGGAACTTTGTTCTGTATGATCAAAGATTATAACAAGCAGAGTGTGTGAGCAAGATATACTGCTACTGATTAATCAGCATAAATAGAGGCCTAGTTCTGAAGCCCAACTGACAACCCATACTACAATCAGGTCTAAAAATATTCAGATCAAAGCAAATCTTCCCTTGTTCATATGGGTATAGAAAATTTTCATCAACATTGACATGCAAAGTATCAGCAGAAGGAAATGAATGCTGCCTTTCTTATAGATGCTGCATCAAACTACAATAAAAATGTCCCTTCCACCTTGGTATACCTTGCAGTTCCTTGTTCCATGTGCCCCACGATTGATCCTGCTTCTCAGATTAGGAGACAGAAAGAAGCTGTGAATAATAATAATAATAGTAATCTTTAAAATTTAATGCATTCTAAGCAACACACTCTCACCCAGGCACTGTATTTTCTAATCATCTTATGCAGAGGCACCAGCTTCTCTTATGCCACCAGTAAAAACAGGCTCATGCCTGTCAATGGATGGGCGCCGTCATGAAAATGAGGAGAGCTGGCATGATGGTTGCAGAGAATGTTACTGTCACAATGGACGGGAGATGTGTGCCTTGATAACCTGCCCTGTTCCTAACTGTGACAACCCCACCATACATCCAGGACAATGTTGTCCATCATGTCCAGGTAAAATGTTACACTCTATGTTCTATAATAAATCAATCTTTCTTTCACTCTTGTGTACCAGTTTCTCACACGTGAGAATAGAACTTTAGTTAAGGCACAAGTGCAAGTCAACGGGACATGTTTCTATTACCAGGTATACCACAAATTAGGTTGGGTGACTTAGGACTAAGTTCACTGTGGTTCAGTTTCCCCACATGTAAAGTATCAATACAAATATGTCACTTGTATGTAGTGAGTCTTAATATTTGTACAGATGGTTGAGACCCAGGGAAAGAAGGATGGAAGATTGCCTTGAACTGCCATTTGCTTAGGGGCCACCAAATGCTGAAAACTTAATTTTGTATAACATTAATCATAGAGCCCTGTCATCAGAGTTTTTCTTCTTGTGCAAGGTGTATCACCAACTCACCCCACCTGTTAGCAGTGTGGTTCCCACATAAGGGGTGCTTTGTAAGCTGGTTGTCTCCAAATTTTGCCTCATCTGTACAAAAACTATTTAAAAGATGTTATAGTTCTCAGATATTATGTTTCCAATTTATAAGCTATGAGTTCAAAAAGTCTTCTGAGCTGCCATTACAAGGTATTCATAATATTTTATGTTAAAGTAAGTCTTCAGTAATGGTGAGCTACCTATGATCATCTTTACTGCCTTTTATGTAAATATTCATTTTTTTTATTAATTGAACCTATTGATTCCACACTGAGCAAACATTTCTGTTCTTTCTGCAGTGGAAGATTATTGTGATTCTTTAGATAGGAAGGCTAAGGATAACTACAGTAGAATTCCAATATTGTTTTCAATGACAACAAAGTTAACACATTAACAACTCATGAAAAACTGTTGCTGTATGTCCTATGTAGTATAAGAATGCTGTTATATTTGTATCATTTACCTCAACGAAACTGCTGTTAGGAGGTTATTTAAATATAACAAATGATTATATGCGACTTAAATAGTTATTAAATATCAATGTATTATAAGTCAATGTAAGCATTTACTAATATTTACAGTAAACTGTATGGTAAATGTAGTAGTTCTGATAACGATATTAATTAAAAAATGCTAAAATAATACAAGGCAGGAAATTATTGAAAATTTTCAGATAAAATGTTAATGTATTGAATGCAAGAGACAAAATAACAATTAGAATGTAATTAAATTATATATATTTAGTAGTATAACAATAACTAATATTTAACATTTAAAAATGTATTAAGCACA